TCATGAAGAAGGTGTTAATGCGTGCATTTCAAATTACAAGCAAATTCGGGGCAAAACCCCATCTAAATCACATCTCCGTGAACTTATTATGCTAATTCTAACCAATAATAACTTTGTTTTCGGCGACGGTCATTACCTTCAAATTCATGGTACAGCGATGGACACTAAAATGGCTCCATCTTTTGCTAACTTATTTATGGTACAATTTGAGGCCAATTTCCTGTCCCTACAGCCCAAGAAACCAGATGTTTGGTTTCTTTACATTGATGATATCTTCATGATCTGGACCCATGGTGAAGGTAGTTTGGATGCGTTCATATTGAACATTAATTCGGCTCATCCCACAATCAAATTCACTGCTAACAAATCCACAAGCAGTGTAGATTTTCTGGACATCACCGTGACCATGGAAAATGGTACACTCAAAACTGATCTCTTTCGTAAACCCACGGATAAGCATATGTACCTTTCTTTTTTTCTTTATTCTCTCCCGCACTGTACAAAAAACATTCCGTACAGCCAAGCATTGCGCATGAGACGCATTTGTGCCACCACTGGTCTTCCGGTGATGCTGTAAAAATATTATAAATACATTTTTGAACGTTAAAGAAAAGGAATTCGCGGGTGTGAAAAATAGGTACCCCAACATGGATTCGAACCCGATTAAAGCACCTAATTCTTTCATACTCGTGCGCACGCATATTAGACAGCAGTATAATCCTTGATGCATGGCGAATAACAGAGATCAATATGATACGCCCTCTTCTTATCAGCAATTGACGACAAGACGAGATCTACAAAGAGAGCTTTTTGTAAGTATAAATAATGATATACGATAGAGATAAAATCTAACTTGTCTTTTGGTAATGCTGTAAATATATGTAAATACATTTTTAAACGTTACCGGGACCTTCTGCTATAACTCAAAACTGATCTCTTCCGTAAACCCACGGATAAGCATATGTACCTTTCTTTTTTTCTTTATTCAAATTTCTGCCAAGCACAAAACAACAAACAAATTTACAAAAACATGGCAAGGAAATACCAAACAGGTGCTAAACACCTATGCAGGTTGGTCAACCCAAAACAGTACAGAAACAGAACAACTACTCTCTACAAAAGGAACATCTACACGAAAGTGACCAACTACAAACATTTTCAACATAAAAAATTATTTAAGAAATAGTTATCAAAATAGTTTAAAAGTTTAGTTTTAAACGAACTAACAAATAAATTAAAATTGCGAATTTCACAGGGTAAAATGTTCCAAATTCTGGTAGAACGAGGGATAAAGGATTGAAATGAGAGTTCAGTCCTGCAGCGACGAATATCCAAAAGTGTACCAACAGAGGATCCACGGGTAACACGGCGTGGGTAATGAATATTGAATAGATTATCTGAATTAATTGTGGTGGAATTAAATAACTTCAAAAGTAATAAAATATCAGCACATTGTCGCCTATAACATAATGGAAGTAAATTACAAGTCTGAAGTCTACATTTGTAATCTAAATCAATATTATTTAAAATAAATTTAGTTCCTCTTCGCTGGACTCCTTCAAGTGATTTTATGTACGGTAACTTTTGGAAGTAGGAGACCAGACAGTAGAGCAGTGTACAAGATAACTTCGAACAATACTAAGATAAAGAGATAGTTTAACATGGAAATTGCAGTGGAAACTTACACGCTTAACCAGACCTAACATACGATTTGCTTTGGATATAATATTATAATAATGGGCTTTCCAAGATAACTGAGAATCAATGATGACGCCAAAATCTTTTATATCAGTAACTCGTTCGAGAGGATCATTTTAAATTATATAATTATAAAATATAGGTGATTGTGATCTGGTAAAAGAAATAATTTTACATTTTGAAGTGTTAAATTTTAAATCCCATTTCTTAGACCAGTCACTCAAAATATCCACCTCAGTCTGGAGTGAGTGACAGTCATGTATATTATGAATTTCTCTGTAAAATTTGGCGTCGTCGGCATAAAGAGCAATAGTGGTATTGCAGCTTAAGTTATCAGGCATGTCATTAATGTATAAGATAAACAATAATGGTCCCAGTATCGACCCTTGTGGGACACCTGATGATAATGGGAACCATTGAGAAGACTGACCTTCAATTACAACTTTCAGACTTCGGTTAGTTATATAATTATTAAACCAGGTAAGTAAGTTACCAGTTATACCAAAGGACTGAAGTTTGTGAATCATTTTATGATGAGGCACAGAGTCAAAAGGCTCGTGAAAAATCAAGGTAAATTGCATCTGTATGACCAGACCTTTTATCAAGAACTAAACTAAAGTCGTTAATAATCTCGGTAAGTTGGCTAACAGTTGAACGTCCTTTAACAAAACCATGCTGTCTGGCAAAGATCTTCTGTTCAAGGTGAGGATAAATTTTGTCATAAATGCTCCCTAGCAGCTGTCATCCCCCGCACTGTACAAAAACATTCCGTACAGCCAAGCATTGCGCATGAGACGCATTTGTTCTTCGGATTTAGATTTTCAGAATCGCACAGAAGAGCTATCCGGACATCTCCGGAATAGAAATTATCATCGAGGACCCATCGAAAATACTGTAAAAAAAGCAAAGGACATACCTCGTGCTCAAACACTGACGTACAAACCACGTCAGCGATCGACCAGAGTGCCACTGGTCACTACCTATTACCCTAGGTTACCACCACTAAGGGCTATAATTCAGAAACATATGCCCATTCTACAGACCACAGAACGTCTTAGGTCTGTTTATCCGGATACACCTTTCATAGCCTATCGCAGACCACCTAACCTTCGTGATATATTAGTACGATCTAAATTCAATAGGCAAATTAACTCTTGCGACAGCCATAATTTAGGTAGTCATCTTTGTGGTTCATCATGCAAAACATGCTCCTTGCTTGATTCTACACAATCATTCAGGAGCAACCAAACAAACCACATATTTCGGATAAGGCAATCAATTAATTGCCTCACCAAAAATGTCATTTATCTCATATATTGTAAACAATATGTCAGAGAAATCTGCAGACGGATCCGATTCGGCCTTCCAGGACTCATCAGTGCAGCTGGGGTATAGACCCAAAAGAAACGTTTGACCAGCTTAGGAAGGGCCCAAACCAGTCCCACTACCACTAATGATTACAGAGCCAAACCAAGGCAATATATGTTTTTATATATATATATATATATATATAAACATGGTTTGGTAATATAAGAAAAATCCATTACAAAAGAATACAAGGTATTATAAATCAGGCTGGAAAAATCCTAATACAAAATAGACAATTAGATGATAGTCTTGAGATTAAAATTATTGATAAGATAGTTTTCACTCACTAAAAGCATCCTTCACTTGGCTACCATCAGGTAAATGTTTAATATCACAAACCTGTTTTTCTGCAAATTTAGATTTTTGAATTTCTCATTTATTCGTGTTTTCGATGTTCTCTTGTTTTAAATTGTTCATGAAATTTAAATTGTTGTTGCATAATCTCTTTTTTGTTTTTCATAAATATTTTAATTGTCTGTTTTTGTAAACTGTATTTGTCGTCAGAGATGCAAATAAATCAAATCAAATCAAATCAAATATCAACTCACTCGTACCACAATTATCCAAGAATTCTTAATCAAAATAATTATGTTTTTGGGCCTAATCCTAATTATATTGTTGTTCGTTGTTTTGTATTATTTTTGCACTCTTTTTAGGATGTGGTGTACCAAATGATTTTCTGAAAGGATACTAATAAATGAATTGAAAGTACTGATATCAATTGTTAAAAAATGATATTCCTCGGCATGAACTGGGTTGGTAAAATGGATTCTGCTAAAAAATGATAACAGTTAGAGGGCGTTCCTCATGTTTATCTATATCATACAAAAGTACTGTACACATAGAGATTAATAGCTCTATGACTGTACATCATTGTGTACGTACGTGAAACTAGTGTACTCGGCCGACATTCATTCGATCCTGTACTTCTTGCGTAGCACAAATCAGTTGTTTGCTTGAAAAACACAGCTGTATTTGTTATTGTATAAGCAGAATGAGTAGGCCTAATACAGATTTACCGTTGTCTATTCGTGTATGTTGGACTATTTATACAGTAGTATTTTGGATCTAGGCTACATAAAATGGCTAGGCCCAGGCTAGGGCCTATTGATTGGCTGTTGCAGTAGGCATAGCCTAGGCTACTAGCCTATTACTAGGTGGGAGGAGGCCTAGCCTAGGCCTACGCCTAACTACTGTAGCCTAGGTAAGGTAGGCCAGACCCTAGGTACGACTGTAGCCTAGGTAAGGTAGGCCAGACCCTAGGTACGACTGGACTCCATGGCTAGGCTAGGCCTAGTGCCAACTACCTACCCTAGGCTAGCCTACAATTTCAAGGGTAGGCCTAATTATTATAGTAGGTAGGCCAGCCCTACAATTGTTTTGCCATGGGCTTAAAGCCATTAAGAAATTGCTCTAAAATTATGGTATAGCCTAGCCTAGGCCTCCTTCAGCAAGCGATTGGTTGCGACCCAATGTTTGGGTCCCAAAAACATTTTGATGGGTCGCGCAATCACTTCAGAAAAAATATGATGGTAACAAACAAATGTGCCGACAAAAGAATGCCAACAACCGAACCCTGATACAAGTGCGTTAGCTTTACATTTACTGTTTACAATACATTTCTTTTCTAATTAACTGAAACAGGAGCCATTGGTAAAGTTTTGGATAAAAGTTGAAAAAAAAAAGTATCAAGAAATCAGCCAGGTTGCGACAAAGTTTCTTATGCCGTTCTCAATGAAAAGGTGAAAGCCTGTATTTAAATCATTGTGTATTCTCGCGTAGAAGATGAAGCTTAAAATAGCAAGTTACGATCGAAAAATGTGGCGTCATCTTAAACGTACAAATTTTTAGATTTTTTTATTCATGTTCGTCTTAATCTTATGTGAGGGTCTTCCGTAACACGCAAATTTGCTACTAAAACATGCCCACCATACAAACATTGTCCAACTGTCTTCTGAATCAGTCTTATACGCAGAATAAATGGTTCTTCCCTTATGCTCAAGTATCGGAATAGACTGTAAACTGTTAACCTGAGCTGTGCCACCTTCAAAATTGTATTATCGCCACTCCACAACCGGATTGATGAACTTTCTGTCAAGAAGTAAACCATCGCACTAACGGGCCCTAGGTACACTACTAAATTTGATGATCCCTTTTGGTATGACGTACATCATTGTACAATGTACTGTACACTTATTTTGAAATTTTATTTCCCAAAAAAAAAGTTATTCTGAATTCTGAAACTTTCTTTGCTGTTAAAATAACTCCTTTAAAATATCAATATCGTGAGTAGAATCGCTTTATGTTCCAATATTGCATTTATATTCCTTTAAAAACAATACTTGGTGTGTTAATGTCATTTAACAGTGTTTTTAAACACATGTACAGTATAAAATAAAACTTCAGAAAATGAGAATCAAGTGCGTATTTTAAGTGTGAACACCGACGTCTCTCGCACATGCTCAAAATGTGAATATACATCCTCAAATCCAGATTATCGAAGTAAAGTAATTTTCAATTTTTTTTCAATTTATTCAACATTTATTCGGCCGTATATAAACATGCATGAAAATTAAACAAAAATGGTCAAGGGACGACATAGAAACTCTAACGAGTCCGTCACTGTTGCCCCACTTCAAAAACAACATTAAACATGAAAATAAACAGAAAATAAACACTCTTCCGTATAAATAAGATAAACATAATGTTTTTCTCTGATTATTTACATATGTAATTCAATTCCATAACTCTAATTTTTTGCATGGATCATTGGGTTTCAATAAAGGTCAGTTTAAGTTTTGATTTGAATTGTTTTAATGTGTTTGCAGATGTTACACCTTGGATTTCAGAAATGAAACAAGGTATAACTAGGTATTTTGCATACCTTTTGCTATTAAATGACACCTTTCTGTAAATTAAAAGACAAAATTAAATAAAATAGGGAAGCAATAAATGCAAGATAGTGACTAAAAGCAGGCAAACCTGACCACAATAAATATCGTATTTAATAATTAGCTGAGCCTGAGGTCGATGGGTTGTGGCTGAATGTTTAATATTTGAATTTGGGTCGCGGCTGAAAAGGTTGCGGAACGGGGGTATAGGCAACTGTGTATCTATCAAAACTCGATCAAAATCATTTTATAATACTACTAGGGCCAGGGCTATAGAGAAATACAGTATTACAACCAGGCAGAGACCACAGGCCTGAATTGAGATATTCTAAACTTGTGAACATGCAGTTCCATAGCCCCTGAATGTGCCAGGGCAGACTGTACCCAAATAGTTACCGATCCAGTAACTCAGTGGGGTTTGTGTAGTGTTCACATTTTGACAACATGTAGTCAATATACCTGTACTATTTTAGAGTGTTTCAGATGCAAATTTTAGATGGATGCAATTAATTATTTTAATATATTTTTTCTGGTGATAGTTACTTCTTATATCATTTTCCCTTCTAAACAAGGTCTGCGGCCAATTGATGGATAAGACAACCCACCCCTGGCCAGGTGCTAATAATTCAGTTCCGGGATCCGGCGTAGCAGCCAAAAAATCTCTAGCAAAGTGCAAAAATATAATCATTTAGATAATAGATTAAAATGGCTGAACCTTGGAGCTTCCTGTTTTCCCCCATCCCCCTCTTGAGAGGACACTTCCAACCTGACCGTAGATTTTTGATTGCCACTCAGACCCCTGCAAAAAGTTGCTGGATCCACCACTATAATTGTATAATGTTTATTTTTGTACAGGTGTCGTCAATTGATGCACACTTTGATTGCCCAGTATGTATGTGCTACTTCACCAAAGCATGCCTAACCTCATGTGGACATCGCTTCTGTGAAAATTGCATTAAAGGTTGCATAGACACCAGGTAAGCCCAATGACATGTGGCAAAGACAAACCAAACTAGTCACTCGTCGCAAAAATCGATTTTGAGTTATTAATACAGTGTTACAGAGTAAAATAATAGCTATAAAATGGTAAAAAAATCATTCAAATCGGACATTTCCTTATGAAGTTACAAGCGTTTAAACACACAGCAGTTTAAAGAACTATATATGAGAAATCAGCCTTTAAAGTTTATGATTTCAGGCATTTCTCATGCAGAAACTATCATCAAATCGTTAAAAAATGTTGTTTTAACATTGCACATTGGGAAAATAACAGCATAGAATGATGTGTAGGTATATAAAGTTTAGTGCAATAAAATAGATTTAACTTCGACATTCCAGCATGATTTGGCCATTTTCTCTGAAACACGATTTGCGACGAGTGACTGGTTTGGCTTGTCTTTGTCACATATCATGGTCAGATGGTGCACTGGGCCATCAGAAATCAAGTGGTGTTTTGGGGGGTTTTTTTCAGGGGGAGGGGGGTTGGCCTTGACCTTGTGGTTTACAAGCTAATAATAGGTACACCCTTTAAAAGTCAAGTGCTGCAAAACAATGCTGCGTAAATCTTGTTAAACATCGATGATGAAGCAAACCACAAATTGTAAAATTATAAATAGGCAACTTAACTTAGCACTCTGTTTCTACATTTGTTCTAAAAAATCATAGTACTGTAGGCCGAAAGTACAGCTGACCTAAAATCTAATAAGGTTGCTGTTTTTGGCGCATGTTTTAAAGGGGAAATTTTTTTTTAACTATAGAGTAGGTATTTTGTTTGGAAGGGCCACTTTTCAAACTTCAGTTTATAGATTTGTTACCTTAACATGACTTTTACCCAGAACTCAGTGCTGTGGTTACAGGGGTCCCAAGTTGAAGAACTCCATTCGCAGGAGATTTTGTCGGGAACCTTTGGCCGCCTGCAAATACAACGTGCGTCGTGTTGCAGCCAATACTCAACTACTCATAATATCAAATATTTGACGTACAATGATCAAACCCACAGTTAACTTGCTCTTGCTTTAATTTTTATTTACACAATGTAAATTACCATGAAATTACATAAATTTAATGAGATTTAGCCAATCAAATTTCGCTAAGCACCATCGTTTGCAATTGCGCCCTCAGTTTACTCAGAAAGTTCAGTACAGCTAGTTACCTGTATGTTTAAAACTCGAGTGTTGCGGTGTTTGGGTGTAATGTACACGATTTTAATTTTCATTCCTTGGTACTTTATTTTTGAATAAGATGCTTCACTTGGCCTCGTTTTGGCTACGATAGTTTAATAATTTGTTATTACCATCATTCATTATCATTAATGAAATATTAGTCAGTCAGAGGGCTTATTAATATGTATACTAAGCATGAAGGTGGCGCTTTACGACGGCCATCTTGGATGGTACACATACATAACTCTGCATTGCTGTGCCATCTTGTCAGCACTCTAGTTACTTAATAGCTCTATGCTTTTTCCAGAGTTTAGTTGGTTGACCTCAATGGTGCGTACTTGAACTGTGAATTAAAAGCACATGAATTTTGCGTTTCTTCGCTGGAGCCATATATTTTTACTTATTATTTTTGACTATTAATTGTGTGATTATTTTCATGAAACAGCTCGATAAAATTAATTTTATGCAAAAAGTTAGCTGTAGGCCTGTTCTACGGGTCAAAAGGGCGTGTTGTTTACGGGGTTGTTTAGATATCAAATCACACTGCAGGCATGGTCTCAGGCCGGGCGTCGGAAGGATGGGTGCATCGACTTTTTTAATAAACAAAGTGTATTTTGATTCCATGTTTTCAGCAGCTACCGTAATTAATTGCAAATGCATTATTAGCAGTGATGGTAGGGCGTGGAATAAACTTATTTGTGATTGTTTACGATTGTTTTTTAACATCCTGAGTTATGTTTTTACCTAGGCTAACTAACTAAATAGCCTACTCAAATTATTAAAAATTTACTGGAGAATTTTTTTCATGCGGTAGAAAAACGTAAGCTTATGGTAGCGCGGTAGGTTGTCGCTAAAAGCGGTAGACTACCGCAAGTCGCGGTAGACTTGAGACCTCTGTGGTTACTATTTTACAACCAAATGAAATGCATGGGACAATGAAACCTAGAATTAGGCCTTTAAATCAAGATTTGTTTATAATTAACAAAAACTAACAATTATACTTTATTTTCAGGCACAAGTGTCCATGTTGCAATACACGTCTGGAGCATGCACAGTTAACACATGATCCTCAGTTTGATAGTCTTGTGGCGAGTGTGCTAAAGGAGAGAAAAGCCGCAGAGCAGTCATACTTCTCAGATCTAATCAAAGCAGGTAAACTCATATCCAAAAACAAATGCATGAGGCTCTTTCCTCGGGCGGATTGCTATAAGTGGTCTTTAGACGGTCTTGACGCTTAGTCGGCTCTAATCGTGACATCACTACTGGTCCATGACTATAGACCATTTCTACAGTATACCACAGTCTAACCAGTTAGCCATCTTTAATTTTAAAGCCTGCTTGGAGGAGGCTTAAAATGGTCTTAAATCATTTTCATCATGGTATTGTAGGTGCTAGACCTACACTGTAGGCCTAGATTGTCAAAGACTAAGAATCGAACGATGAATATTCGTAAATAAGTTTATTTACATTCATTTTGATAAATATGCATGTTTTGAGCAAGAGTAACAGCCCCCTCAATTTTATTTTAAACCAGTGAATGCTTGTTTGCGTTTCAATACTCCAACCGGTCTAAACGAAGACTGTTTTATAGCAATAGTCTTAGCAGAGTGACTTTAGTAAGACTGTCTTAAGTGATAAAGATGGTTTTATTCAAGGAGTTAAGACAATAAGAAATTTGAATATTTGCATATAATACACTATTGAAAATTTATCATACGAAAGCTGAAGGATTTTTTTGAAAGCATGAATCTTAATAAATTTCCTCTAGTGTAATTATAAATAGGCACTATTCTAATGGCTTTATAAATCAATCATTGTGTTTTAATGTTAGTTTTATGTTAATCAAACTTTTGTTGTAGCCAACCATTTCTGTAGTGATATGGTCAGTATATCTGTGCATATATTACATTTAGCTGTGCGTGCGGATTGTTGCTGCAGTAGTACGAGCTAGTCAGCAATGCAGTTGAAATGTTATGTACAACGTTTACACTACAGTACGATGAAAATATATTTGATTGTGTTTGAAGAACTTGTCATGAGCTTATTATGTTGATAGACATTCGTCAAAGAAATGAAAATTTCTTCGAGAATCTGGGTGAATACTGTACAACTCTAATCACATTTTGGTCAGTGCAGACTGATAAAATCGTGTGATGGTTTCACCTAGGCTTACAAATCGATCTAGGGGATTGCTAGACCTGGATATACTGCCTACATCTAAATGTATTCCTTGCATCTTTGAAACAGGTCTAGAGAGGCCTAAAATATTCCTATTAGAAATTCAGTTCCGTTAGTTTCCTTAATTTTTTATACATAATACAGTATTGCTTGTTCTAATATACAGTACCTTGTTTTACGAATGTCATTTTTTCAATCACCAGTTGTCAACAAATGACGATCGGATAGGTGTCCTTTTTAGATACTGTAGGTGACACGCTTCATAGTGCTAGGTGTAAAAATACTAACCTAGAATTCATCGCAGTACATGCATAATAAGTTGAATTGGTCTTTTGCACACATACCTAAAAAAGATCCAACCAAGCGTGCACTGTATGAAAAAATAGTGGACTGTGGGGATAGGCAAATTTCATTGAAAGTTGCAGTGATGTGACATCACGATTGATAGTTATAACATGTTTTTTTTTTATTGATAGCTCATGAACAAGAGAACAGGGAACATGCTAGAGAAAAAACACCTATTGAAATTGTCCTTCAAAGTAAGTAAATCCTGAATATTGATAATACTAGAAATTGCAAATTGCAAGTGAAGTGCTGCGAAGTACAACTGCATAAAATGTTCTTCGAACAAAATTATTTTAAGAGTCAAGTGAAAATAATGAATAATAAAAATATAACAAATAATATGAGCACGACTCATTTTCTATATTAGAACAGTGTTGGTACCGTGTACAATAGTGTTTTGCTGCAGTGACATCTCTCTGCTGGCGACTCGCTGCTGCTGGCGATGACTCGCTGCTGGCGAATCGATCTGCGCATGTGTATAAAATGGTATTTATTCCGAAAACACTATGCCAGTCTACAACAAGCGTCACCTAAATTTAATAATTAGCACGTTGAAATAGGCTAATAAATAAGTTTAACTGGGTTCGTAAATAATATTGGCCTCAAAATATTGTGGCTGAGACATGAGCCGATTAAACGTAGAAATAGGAAACCTAGAAATATAGTAAAAACGCTGAATAGTACTCCAGCGTCGCGACATGCCGACGTTGGTACGAGTAGGTTAGTCTACAAACGTCACCTAAAGT